ATTTCATTAGCGCAGTACATTTCCGGAATTATGATTATTTTAATTCTTGACTCCCAAAACAATAGTCTATGGTAAAGATAAATTTGCCCCTACACAAAACATTAGCGTACAACCACTTCGTATTCCGAAGGTCCTCGGTTTTATTCTCGGTCACGAGACCAGCAATACTAACCAGGAAAACACTGCAATAACACCTTAGAGTAAAAAAGGTCCTCTTCCTTCCATATTCATTCGAATTCATCAATCCCATTGAAGTGGAGGGAGTTGTGAATTTTTTGACACTGCTTTAACTATCTAAACTGCATAGCGTCGGATGAGAGGACGGTTGTTAATGATAAACTGAAAGGGATCTTGAAGGAAGCGGCCGTGGCCTAATTGAAGTACTATCCGATATTTGCCTGAGAGACTGAGGAAAATCACGCAATACATCAGTCAGAACTGCCGATATCCCGCCTGAGATTATGACTCAGGACCTCCCGCATGCGAATCTGGAGCCTTATCACTAGGCCACCATTTTCGGCTTCCAGTATAATAACATAACATACTTGTATATTGTCCAATAAGTGTCATTATATGAACCCAGAAAGAAACAAAAGCTCTCTCCAGGCCGCTAAACAGAACTCAATGGGAGCGCATAGCCACGCGGGGGTAAATCTCTCCGCATTCTTTACTTCGACTGTATATACATTGAATTCAGCTTTTATAATGGATTGCTGGCATTTTGGTCATTTAGAGCGAGTGCAGCAGTGAACCTGTGGCCCATTACAAGTTAGGAGCATGACAAACGAACAACCAGGTTAACAGAAAAAAATATCAATAGACCTACATATCGATTTACACTTTAGAGAGTATCAGACCTAAACCCACATTACGGAAGTACACAGTGCAGTACACATTTTTGTTGTAATATTGTGATTTCGCCCGTATGAGTAAACTGAGAAATGCGTTCACACTCTATCCCTATCCTCTTACAAAACTGTGAATACCACGTGGTATCAGGAATATATTAAAGAGAGCTAACATTACTCCCGTGTGATGTAAAGTCCCATCAAATGTGGGCCAACATTACTTTCATGAGGTGTAAGGAATGCATCAAATAGGAACCAACATTACTTCCGCGGGCTGTAAAGAACGCACTAAAATTGGGCCAGCGTTACTTACAAGAGACATAAAGAACGCACTAAAATTGGGCCAGCGTTACTTCCTTGAGACATAAAGAACGCACTAAAATTGGGCCAGCGTTACTTCCTTGAGACACAAAGAACGCACTAAAATTGGGCCAGAATTACTTCCAAGAGATATAAAGAACGGGCTAAAATTGGACCAGCGTTACTTCCTTCAGACATAAAGAACGCATTAAATATGGGCCAACAATACTCCCATGAGATGTAAAGGACATATTAAATGCAGGCCTACATTACTTCATTGAGATGTAAAGGACGCATTGAAAGTGAGCCAAAGTTACTTCAATGAGATGCAAAGGAGTCATCAAACAAGGGCCAACATTACTTCCGTGAGATGTAAAAGACACATCAAACGTGGAGTAGGTAACATTATCTGCACAATGTGTAAAGAATGCCTAATAAAAATGAAGAATAATAATTTCATGCTAGATTCATTTTTAGATTACGGTCTCTGAAAAAAAGGAACTGTTAATAAGATCCTCATAGAATGAATGAGTTTCGGCTAACTAGACAGATGCCTCGGCTTTAGAGAAATAGATCTACAATTCTATTGTTACATTAAAACCTTTCGTCTCAACGTGGATTTATTTTCTCGTTTTGATACTAGCTTCATCATTTACCACCAAATCTTCTTGTACCTGTCGAGTGAGATATGCCACTGCATTCGGAAACGCATAATCTTAAATTAATTTAACTTACGCTCCTTACGCAGGGAACGACAACATCAAAAGAATGATAAGACTCTCATGGAAATGTAACGGCAGGAAAGAAACAAAGCTTTCATTTGAGTTACTAAGACATTGCATTAAATTCTCCAACCATGAAATTACTCTAGCTTATTCTCCTTTCTTCTTCTTCTTATTTCCCTTTTCATAAATATGCACATAGTTTAATCTTTTCTTATTTCTGACAGGATTATTTTATTTCTGGGAGAAAAAAAGGATTAAAAACTTTTCTTTACAGGAAAAAGAATAGAAGTGTTCGTCTTATGAATATTTCCCTCAGCCTCATTACCACTTCCAGATATTAATCCAATTTTAAAAACTTTTTACAGTACAGAACTGTAATTCGATACAGCTCAAATGTTAGATGTTTCCAGGAAAACAGTGGTTTTCAAGCAGTAGTCAAATTTTTCATTAGAAGAAAGTTACTGATTAAGGCACAACCGAAAAACGGACTAGAGTCTTGAAGAACTGGACGCCGGGACATTCTCTACTACTGGCCGCCAGGGTGTCGAATGGCAATAAATATCATAAGTACCAAACACCTGTAGATGGTTGTACGCATCAGATAGAATAGTCCTGTAGTTGCCTAGTGACGAAACAGTATTGTATGATTGCTTTATGCAATATAGCACATCCAATCGCCTAGCACCCACCAGAGAGAAAGGGCGGATGAAACTGGAGAGAAGGAAATTGTTTAAGTTATACATCACTTCACTTATCAGATCTCAAGGCTCCTAACAGGCGAAGATTAATTACTTTAATCGTGGAAGTTAAATAGTAACCAATTATTATACTAATATTTTTTGTGCCGAAAATCACGGAAATCTAAATTCCGTGGCCTGTAGTCCGCAAGCGAACTATACCGAACAAGCGACCGCCACTTGTCGGCGAAGTTAATGTCAACTTTAGCGGCTAGTTGGTGTCACGTGGTCAGCGCAACGGTTCCTCACGGCCGTTAATCTCGGTTTTCTAGACCGGATCCGCTATTTCCTCTAAACAGCTACTCAATTATCCTCACGATGCTAAGTGGACCCCGTTCCAGACCCACTACTTCTCAGAATATCTGGTAGCGCTGGGAATCGAACCCGGGATCTCTGGATCTGTAGGCAGGAACTCTGACCACTAGACGACAGAGGCGGTCAATCACGGAAATAATCCGAATTAAATTCAACACGACTGGCTTACATGGTTCCTTTTATTACGCCGGCTCGTGGCTGTGTAACCACTGAGCCAACGTTAATCGAATTTGAATGTTGTATATCGAATTTAAAGACACATAGATTTTTAAAGCAGGCCAAAACATTTCCTGGACACCCAAGGGAATTTGGCAGTCACTGAGTGATGGAGCGCCCTCGTTCCGAGAGCTATGTACAATACACGAGGGTGCAGTGCAGTCCGCATCGACTCCAGCGGGTGCTATTTTCTCTTTCAAGCAACGGAGATATGGCTCGTCTCAAGTGAAGGGTGGCCTTCAGGAGAAATGCTGGCGGGGACCCTAGTCCCAGACAAAGCAAGAGTTTTCTTTCCAAAATGCTTAAAAATTGTTATTAATCTGCATACTTTTGAATTTTCACTTTTCCGTATGTGCATTTCGTTCTTCTTGCCTGAGTATTTGAGATTTCTGGATTTTTTGGAATTTGGATTTGAGCCTCTGCTAAAAATGAAGAAACCAGCTGCTCTCAATGGAAATCCGTACAGGTGTCTAAAAGTTTGTGACGATGGTACATTAGTACAAATATTATGTTTCTGGACATTATCCATCGTCCTGTGTTTATCTCAAAACACCGTTCTGTTTACTTACTAAAATACGACGTTTCGGAGATTGGAATTATCGATTGGGCCCAACTGAGTAGGTTTCACCTGAAGACGTAGACAGAATCCAGGTTCCGAAACATTGTGTTTTGTACTGTAAACAGGACGGTTTTTAGATAAAGACAGGACGATGGATAATATCCAAACATATAATATTTGTACATTAAGTGTCTCTTGACTTTGTGTTTGTATGTGGTAGCGCAGTAGGTTGAGGCACTATGCTACAAGCCGAAAGATCACGGTTTCGATTCCCGATGAGGTCTTTGCATTTTCAATTTATCTAATTCTTTCAGCCGCACTATGGCCCTGGGGTCCACTCAGCCTACAAGAAATCTTCCTGGGGGGTAAAGTGTGGCCGGTGCGTAAAGCTGAAAAACCCCACTGTCCTCTCATCTCCATCCAGCGCCGAATTTAAAAGAAACTCTGCTTCCACTCTGACAGTCTCCATGGTGTTCTGATCAGTTCAGCATAGGAACGTATGAGTATTTACCTTTATCTTGCGCGCTCTAAATGCAATACCGCGGAGGCAGAAGACACGCGATGCTTTCTGCAGCATGCAGTGCCATGCAGTTCAGAGACGGCAGCGCCTACGGTCCCGTGGAGATACACATTACATCACACATATGACTCATGAGTCCCCGTGGGTTTCCTAAACTCGGAACCGAAGGAGCAATATAAATGTTATTACTTCGGTCTGAGCTACTTGCCTCTCTGATATCAGCAACATGGCAGTTCGCATTAAAACACGCAGACACATGACTTTCCTACATAAAAACAGGCAGGAAATGAACAGAAAATTAAGTTTCATGCCCCTGTTAGGGGATGCAACCCTCCATTTCCTTGGCAGTTCAGAAGCGGCTGGCAAGAAGTAACACATTTTCCCTCAGAAAAAAGTTAAGAATGCAATGATATTGTTGTTCTGGATAATAACAACAAAAAAGCACCCAGAGTTAATGTGTTTTCTTTGCGATGCAACTACAAGTTTATAACATTAGATATATTTGCACTAGGCTGCATATTTTTTTTTCCTTGGCACTACAGCCCCAGTGGGCCTAGGCCTACCTCCATGAACTTCTCGGTTCCCTTCGGTTTTTCGAGATCTTACACATTCGGTAGGACTCCTTGGGCGGGTGATCAGCTCGTCGCAATGCCTCTACCCGTACACAAACACAGAAAAACGCACACACACAAACTAAACATCCATGCCCTGAGTGGGATTCGAACCCACGATCCCGGTTTCCAAGCGAGCGAAGACAGTACATGCCTTAGACCCCTCTGCTACCGTGACCGGCTACTAGGCTGCATATAACTGGGCTAAATGCTACAGTCCGGAAAAGCAAACTCATACATAAAAAGTATAAAACCATCAAGTGTAACAGATTAAAAAATTAAGCAAATAAAATATTTTTTCTTACATGTCTCGACTGCCATCATCAGGAGGCAAACCAACATCATAAAGGAAGTACTTCACATATCCTGTGATTGAACATAATTTGTTATTATAAAGTTATTGGAGGACTTATGGCAAATATGAATATTAAAACTAAGTGTTTGCTAAAATAAGCAAAAGGCCATGTTTAGTTGACAGAAGAACGCAGTGAAGATTTCAGGTGACTGTTGCCTAGAGCAGGCCGTGTGTCTGTGGTGTGTTCATTCCGATTGAATACGTGGTAGTATCTGAGCTTGTAGTGATGGGAGTATTTAGTGCTATGTCTATCCTGTACTTCTTGCTGGTCCCTGCATGGCATACGCTTCGCCTCTGAACTTGAAGACTGTACCGTTCTCCCAAACTTCAGTGGACTTTTACCGGCATGCACTGCGTTCCATCTCAGAAGACAATACTCTGCAACGGAATATTTTGGGTAAATGTCCAGATTGCAATGTCGACTGAGATGCGGGTAAAAATTCACTGTGGCCTGGCAGTCTTGTTGGCAGTTTCTAGCAGTATGGACTTCCATATAAAGACAGAAAATTCAGCTTTAGATTTTATATATACTGATTGTTCTGTGAAAATTTGTGTAGATTTTAAGAATCCCCCCCCAAAAAAAAAGAAAAACTCCGCCGGTGGCCCTTGTGCGTCTTCAAAATTTCGAGGTCCTCCTACTGAAAGACACTGTCATTGCCTACAGACACTTGAAGAAACTTCGTTAGTCAAGCTACAAGACGTACAGCTAGTTCAACTTGCTTCTTCCTAAGTACAGCTTGAATAATGACACTCAAAAACTGCATTGCTTTCAAATACTAATCTGCTATCCATTAATTGAATGTGATTGGTAATCGAGTCTGTGGAATGTAACTCCATTATGGACCAATTATAATTTGCATGACAACACTAAACTGGCTCAATATACCTCCCCTGTACTAACGCGAATTTCCCAATGAAACGAATTTTCTCTTCCACAGCGAAACACACATAGAATTTGTTTACGTCTACATACAAACTATATATCTCACTTAATGACACTGATTGTTTAAAATAAATCTAAAATTCTGGCATGTTTTGGCCATAGGGTTATATGGCCAACTTCAGTTGTAAAAGAAAACTTTACATGAATTGATTACACTTCATTTAAATTACTTAAAATACAGAATGGTTCATAAATCTCCATATATAAGGAAAATTAACACTTTTTAACAACATGTTACTTTATTTACAAAATGGGATAATAGATAACAGCAAACATTCAAAGAAAATTATCTCATACGTCAGATCCTGTTCCATCCTTAAGTTCCTTTTATTTTCATCTCCTCGTACCGTCTCTTCTTCACTGCCCTTCGGGTTTTCTGTATTCCCGTGCAATATTTGGCCAACCGGTTTTCTCCAGTTCTATCTACATGGGGTCTCCACATCACTTTTATCAGAAATAATCACCCAATAAAAATTATACTATCGACATGTTTAGTCTCATGCTGTCAGTAGCAAAAGATACGTAATACGTAAAACACGAATGTGTGTCACAGTGTATGGTCTATGTATGATGTATGATATGATACGTAATTTAGAATTGGAAGTGACATGTTCTCACACCCAGATACAATTTGCAAACCTGTCAACTGTATCGGCAATATAATTTGATTACCTCCAACCCTTATTCCAGCTACACTATGCAAATTTCAAAAAAATTATTGAAAATTGGCGTGAAAGTCTGCTTTAATTTGCCGTGACGATGAAATGCCTTTCCAGAGAATTTTATACATATGGACAGAAAATACTAGAATTGTCTAGTGTGCCAATTTCTGTTCAGTAGAAGAACTAGTTACCGAAGCTCATATTCTGAAGCAGCGTAGTCAGTGTAAGTGTGAAAGTCTAATTTGTTTCATTCTGGTCCGTCACACTAACAATTACAAAGACAAAAATAACACCGTCCAATGTGGCTATTTAAATTTTATCATTTGAAGACTCATCACCCTTACATGTTTCGATCCCTACGGATCATCCTTAGGGCATCAATACTTTTTCCTATTGTAATAGTAGTTTCCGAAAAAGTATTGATGCCCTCTGAGGATGATCCGTAGGGATCGAAACATGTAAGGGTGATGAGTCTTCAAATGATAAAATTTAAATAGTCACATTGGACGGTGTTATTTTTGTCTTTGTTAAAGTCTACGTTAGAAGTAGTTCTTTAACTATTGGTAATTATTCAGCTGGGCAAGAAATTGTATACAATTATGGAACCCTAAGCTTCATAATTGTAATCGCAACGCATTTTCATTAAAATCTGTAGTGAGACATTTAATTTATATAGTATCTTCATTGGTTGGATCCTATTGTATGTTCCAGATATATGTAGGAATTACAGGTATGTTAACCGTCAACACAACGCATATACTCATAAAATATTTTACGTTAGTATATAGTACGACACATTGCACTGATATGGACCCGTATCCGTAGTTCAATAACTATACGTATTCCTATACATAACTGCCTGATGATAGTCTTGTGCGACCGAAACATGTAGCAGGAATAAAGGTCGAATTGTAAAATATTAAAACTGAGTATATTTGTTGTGTTGACAGTTACCATAATT